TATTTTATGAGCATAGCTCAGAGTGTCGGAGTAATGGTTCGAGCAAAGGGATTTGATGGGTCTGAGAGACCAGTGGGCCATCAAATTAGATCACCTAATTGCCTTTGATGAATTCATTAATTGTTTTGCAGAGGTTGAGCCCACTGTTCTTTTTGTGTCCCCTGCGTGCACTTTCCTGTAATGAAGTCACCATCGGCAGCTACATTGCTCGTCACAGCCGCTCGTGTCCAGATTTGGCTATGGAGCGGTCAAATGTTGCGTTCTGGTCGTGTAATAAAGCTTGAACTTTGCTTGTTAGAGGCAACTGGGCACACAGTTACACAACGTCAGGACCGTGCCAGTGTTACATTAGCACACAACAGTTGTTGTTTTTCGGCTTGGCCCGCATTCGTCGTTTGAAGACTGTTGCGGGGCCGTGTTTTTTTGTTCTGTTTGTTCTGTAGCTGCATTTTTTGACATGTACCACGTCGCCCCGCAGTCCGCATCCCTCCAAGTGTACCTGTGTGTGTAACTCTTTAGCCAGTGGAACCCCACCCTTTTTGACTGCTGTTTCCCATGTAATCTTCTTTCGGTTCAGTTTATGGCACTAAACGAGATGGATTAAACCTGGTTTAGACACTGTGCCTGGCCGCCATAACCCAGGAGAAGTTCACCTCAAGGAACACCAGCACCAAATGATGACGCGGACCCTCTCTAGGCAGATCGATGGAGGCAAATCGGCCAGATTTGAGAGTCATGGAGTAGGATAGACGAAGGATTGATGGACAGTGGGAGGGAGAGCGAGGACGGCGTGGAGCTGCAGCATAGAGTGCCAAGGTTACTGTTTAGGTGTCTGTGTGCCCACCTGCGGGGGTTTCCTCCTCTGCCTTGCTGGCATGTGACACTTCACCGAAATCTCCCCTCCTCCATTTCACAGAATGCAGCAGTCGCCGATTCACAGAATACAGAATGATTAATATCTGTTAGAACGCCCACGGGCAGCAGTCAACATGGCATCCGTACCACAGACATCGGCGAAAGCTTCGTTGTCCATAACACTTTCCTCTACCAAGCAGAAAGCTCAGAGGGATCGGACAGGCCAGCTGTTGTGTGCTGTTTCTGTTTATTTATTTATTTTTGTGTCAAAGAGAGCACAGTTATGAGGCTCTCTTGCTACTGAGATGTCTTGATTTGACTTTGAGGCTGACTTTGATGTCACAGATGTCCATCGCCCCAAAGCACTCACCAAGGATCTGCTCCTTTTCCCTTTTATGGGTGGAAATTACCACTGACCTGCTGAGTTTGCACATGCGCACCACTGCTATTCCCACCACCAACAGATGAGTGTACTTACACCATTTTGTGTTAGCTATTTTTTTAGGGTAAGTCACATCACTGTGGTCTGGATTCTGGGGGGGATCCTGGTGTGCTCAGAGGTGAATCTAAGGGGTGGCCAGTGCTGACCATGGGCACCCCTGTCACCACCCCATTTATCAAAATAATAAAAATTAAATATGGATTATTCAGTTTTCTAAGTGGGACTAAAGAAGAGTCAGTGTGCGGCACGCCCCCCTAAATATAACTGGCCCCTGATGGCCACCCTGATCCCATCCCACTAAGATGGGCCACTAGGTGTGGTTTGTTCTTATGGTCGTGTTTTATGACTGCACTGCTCCGGCTGCTGTTCTGTGATGTCAGGTGTGCGTCCCTATGAGCCCATCTGCCCATCTGTCGCTGGTGCCCAGCTCACCCTGCAGCCTTTGGTGCAACCAAAAAGGTTCAGGCCTCTGCTCTTTGGAGCTCTTGCCATTGTGCATCCTGCTTACTGTGGACAGTCATTTATTTTGATGTGCCTCTTTTTCTTTTAGTGGCCCCCACTCTTTTGGGGGGGGGGGGGGTTGTCTGCCGGGGCGGCTTACCTACATCGGCTTTCCAAGTTGCGACATAAGCACAGTGAGACCTGCAGGTTTGCACAGTTTTCGCACAGTGCAGTGAGACCTGCAGGTTTGCACGGTTTTCGCACAGCGCAGTGAGACCTGCAGGTTTGCACAGTTTTTGCACAGCACAGTGAGACCTGCAGGTTTGCACGGTTTTGCAGAGCACAGTGAGACCTGCAGGTCTGCACAGTTTTCGCAGTGCAGTGAGACCTGCAGGTTTGCACAGTTTGCGCACAGCAAAGTGACTGGGACGCTTGTGTGGGAGCCGATTCACCCGTCTGCCTTCCGTTTTTCTTAGCCCTGTCCCTCCTGATCGGTGAGCAGTGAGACGCAGTTCTGTGCCACATCACTGGGCTGCACCAGGCTAATCCACATTCTCCCTCTGCTGTACCCCTGTTGCTTCTCATCTCACTCTCATCGCATGCACATCCATGTACTCCCCAGCTCCACCTCCCTGTCATTTTCATGCCCAGCCTCTTAGGTTAGAGTGTAGCCACATACGTCATTAATTTGTTCAAGAGAGAAACACCTGAAGAAGATGGCAGCCGTCGCTCTGAGATTCCCAGGGCAAATACATCACACAATGGCATGAGAGTCCCAGTCAAGAGGCACATTTCCCTGTGACTGTGCTAATCTCTCCGTAATCACAGCCACATACGCCCCTCAGCTTAAAGTCGCTAATGCGCTGGAGTGCATTCTGTGTTGTGAGATACCTTACAGTGAGCTCTCTCACTAGCTAAGTGCATGTGTGTGTGTGTTTTCCTGACCCTGTGAAATGCAAATGCAGACAAAATGGCCTCACAGAGGTAGAGAAACCTGACAAACAGACACTGTGCAGATGTCTGTACAAAGCAAACGCCCTTAGGACACCTTTGTCGACTTAAGAATATGTTCCAGTACAAGCAGCATGTATCTGCTGTTGATTTTTTGTTGGTCTGTTGGTATTAATGTAATGATAAATGATCCTCACATAGAAATAGACATTTAGTAGTACAGTGATCCCCCGCTATATCACGGTTCAGCTATCGCGCCCCCACTATACTTTGATAGTATAGTACTTTGTACCCCAAAGTACTTTGATATTATACTTTGAAATACACATTAACCACCTCTGACTGTAAGATTCAGATGCAATTAGAAATAAGCATCATGGCTATTTTATTATAGTAGACTTTTCATCTGTTTTTATTAGAGATGCACGATGTGTCCGTTAACATATCAGTATCGACCTTTGTTTGTTACAAATCAAGACATCGGCTTTAGTCCGATGTGTCAATCAAAGTCAGTATTGCCGGATGATATTTAGACAATGATCAAAGTCAGCAGCACTAGAGTCATAGACACAGCTAGTAAAATAATGGAGAGGTTGCACTGGATGATCAGCCATTTTCTGTACTGAAGGGATTTTGTGGACTAATTAACCAATTAGACTCTCGCTGGAGTTTCCCAACTTGGTGCTGCTCCGCTGATGTTTCACTTCTTGCATTATAGGATGTGGTTGTTACACTCATTCTGGGGATCTTGAAAACTAACGTCACCATCAATTTCACTACAGATTTGTGCAGCTTAGTAATCAGTATTGATTATCGGTAATGGTAATGTTAGGCAAACACATCGGTTATCAGTATTGATTATCGGTAATGGTAATGTTAGGCAAGCATATATTAGGCAAACAAATTCACACTGTAGTGCAAACACTGGGATCATATTCAGTTTGCAGTAAAAAAAAGGCAGGGATTATGTGCTTATTGCAATGGAAATCCACTGTTCCTGTGCAGGTTGTAAGGTAAAGGCACAGATTATATGCAAATTTCAGTGAGAATGCAGGGATTGTGTGCTGATTGTAGTGGACGTGCAGTGCTTGCATTAACCCAGCAGATGTTGATGGCTGTTGATTGGTTGATAGTTCTAATTGACCCAATGAAGAGCTTCACATAGTGTTACTGGATTAATTGCAACCCTATTGGTGCATATTTATTGTCTGTTTATTTATATATTTACATTTACATTTACATTTACATCATTTGGCAGACGCCCTTAGCCAGAGCGACTTACATAAGTGCTTTAAGACTCCACAATGAATTTTTCCCGATACTAGCTCAATAATACCAAGGCTACAACAATTGTTATTGTTGCTGTGCATGTATAAACATTGCATTGTGTTTGCTGCGTATGGCCAGTAAAACATGAATTTTGAAATTGTGATTTTTTTTTATCACTGGTACATTTTCTTGGCAGAGTAAAATGACAGCCTACAGGTTCCGGTAATCCAATTCATGTTCTTGGGCTCAAAATGTACAGCACAGCTAGAATTTCAGCCTTGCTCTTTTTCCAGGAACAATCTGGGCCCGCGCACTCTGATCAGTGTTTCAAAGATGAGATGAAACAGGCTGTGGGCAGGTCCGACCCGGCCTGAAAGGCCCCGGCCCTCTGAAGATGCCGAAGAGGTGCGGGCGCAGGCTCTGCCCCTGAAATAAGCGGCCTTTTCCCTTTTTTTAAACGTCGTGTCTAATGTTTGTTCTCCTCTGAAAAGTAAGGCTGAAAAGGTGTCTTTGTGAGGGGCCTGCCAGCTGCAGGAGCCGTCATGTCAGCGCCCTTGGTAAAGGAAGGCCTCTTTGAGTAGATCAGACAGGCAGCCAGCACGCTGTGCTGCTCGGCTGATTCGCGTCCCGGGTGGGTCGAGAGCAGACATGCTGACGAGTGCCCTGGAAATGCGCTCTAATCCTGGGGTGTCCGGCTGAATCTGAGGTGCATAATGTTTGGTCTGGAGCTGCCCACAGACCATTCTGGCACCCTCTATGCCCCGATTCATGCACTTTATAGGACCGAGAAGGTTTTGAAAGCCTCATCCTCACAGGTGCTGTTTCTTAAGTGAAGCTGTTCAGTAGGAGTGTAACAACAGCCAGCTGTGACTCAATTCAGGATTTTGAGAAACTGGAGTACAGCAGTTAAATATGAATGCCTATTTAGCCTCCAATTTGACATGTTACCTTGGCATGCACACGCCCCTTGGGCGCTCCGCTGGCTGCACGCCCCTCGGGTGCCCCACTGACTGGCTCCTGTGCTCCCCTGTGCCACCTGCAGGCTGGACCCCGACCCAGCCATCTCCACGGACCCGCCCCCTCCCACAGTGATTGTGACCCAGGCAAAGCCGTCGCTGCGCCGGATCAAGGGCCGAATTAACCGGAGCAGGAGCCTGGACAGCATTGACCTGCTGGATTGCAATGTGAGTGGGGGAGGTGGGGGGCGTGGCTGTCGGCCCTGTGCCTTTTCGGGGGGGTAAATTCTGATCTATGCGGGTGGGTCGGGACATACAGTGTATGTGCAGCCCAAACACCACCCTACATCATCCCCCGACGAAGAGCATAGGAAAGCGTGGTGTCCCTGCCCTCCTGCCACCTCCCATTAAGGGAGGCGTTTCTGAAAATACACGCCGTGTCCCTGACCTCCCCCATCCCGCGCTTACATCTGAGAGGAACCTCATACCAAGCTGCATCATTCCGCATTTTCTTTGCTCCATCACACAAAGGATTTTAAATATGAATTCATGTGTCGTTCCTCCTGCTGTTTTTAGAGTAATTATTTCGCCTGTTGTATGTCATGATCTCAAGATATGTACTGAGAATGAAAGGGAATCTGTACCTTTCTGTGGTTAAATATATTTTACTGCATGGTAAACATTTTTATAAACATACATTCAGTGTTTATAGGAACTGTAGTAATATACATCAGTTTTAAACTGTCAGTCCTTTTTCACCAATGTGCTGAGTACACCCCCAACATAATCCAGACTACACATACTTTACTTTAATGGACAGATTCTTTTCTAAATTGTAATGATGTGCAGATATAGAGCAGATCTATGTAATCTGGTGTGTTTGAATTTTTTATCAGTTTTCGGAATATTTCTTGTATTGTCTGTGTTGGAAATTGTACATTCTCTATTATTTCTATAGATATCTTACTCTTTTTATTGCAACACGAGCTCCAGTGTTTGGCTGTAGACATTTATACCCAAGACTTTGTGTTGTCCTCTGCTGGACGTTTCTCATATATCATTTTGCTTAGAATAAACTGGGGACATATTGTTTTTCCTTATGACCTTGGATTTACAGTATGGTAAGGGCAGATTTAAGGAAAACCCTTTGCATTTAGTTTTACTTTGTGTGTTATACTTTTTATGATAGTCTCTTTGTTCCCTCCTTCTTCCCCTTTTGTCCAGTGTAATTTCCCCTCCCCCGTCATATCACCTTTGTGAATTTCCACAAATCATAAGCTGGTATTTTATCAGCTGTGTGATGATGTGATGGCATTGTATCTAAGAGGGTGTGTGTGCTAACTTCAGAAAGAATCCACGCAGATATGAACCTGTCTGAGGATCGTACCGGCATGGCGTCCTCTCTCCTGAAGGGGGTGTGTCACACCCGGGTCTCTTTTGTTCTTCAAAGCAGTTAACCAGAGGCTGGACAGCATGTGGGGCAATTAAAAATGCATGAACACACATAAAGGAGCTGTCTGCTCACTAATCAGTAGCGGGTGTACTACATTTGATAATGACAGGTGCTTGATGCTACTGTGTGAATTTACACCCTGTAATACACAACCTGCAAGGTCATCAAGAAAGGATGCACTCATTGTCTGGAAAATGGTGGAGAACATGCAGCCATTCTCTTTGCTTATTAATCACACTGTCCTTGGTGGGTTACTCCTAGTGCTGGGACACGCTGTATGGACCAGTCACCTTCCCTCAGCAGACTTGGTACCAGGGGGAGGGTCTGCAGTCTTCGGGAATCTCTTTCCATGGAGACGATGTGGTAATGCAGCCCATGCTAAGGATGAGTCAGGTAGCAGGTAGGAGAAACGTCCATGGTGGAGTTCCTGAGTGGGGCGTCATGACAGTCACCCTGGGGATGGATCTGCCAGCTGACTGGGAAGCGGCGCGGGATCGGTAAACTGTGAGATGGAGTCGTCCTCATGCTCATCGACCCCAGTGTCACCAGCCCTGGGCTCGGGTGAGCATGGATGGTCCATGGCCTGACTGGCAGCACTGCGCCCCACTCCAGAAGATCTCACCCAGACCCCGTTAAGGGCTGCCTTCTTATAAATCATCAGCAGTGTAGAGACAGGTGGACTGGGCTGCTGTCCCTGTGGGTGCCAGGGGGCCAGAGAGACCCAGCATTCTGCTGCTGTGGCGTCACATGACCCTGAACCTTCCACCAGGGCAAACGCGGCAAGCCGCTAGCGTTCGTTTGAATGGGCTGTCTCACCGCTTGCCTGAGTCTCCCAGTAATAAGTGATAAGGAGGAACAAACCGCGTGATGCTAGGTTAATGTGATGTGTCGTTTTCTGCAGCTATACATCCTGCAAAAAGCAATTAAGGAGAAATGGGAAAAAGAATGGCTCCTTTCACAGTGAAGGACACTGGGGATTCAGGCACGTATCTGCAGCTGGAACTGGGAGAGAGGCGTGACCTCACGGATAGGGGCTGCTGATAGGTGCAGGAGGCTAACGCCTCTTTGGGAGATGTGCTCCGAAAGTGCACTAGATGCCAAATGGGGTGTGGTGATTAGACAATACTGTAGCACCTTTGTCAAGAGGTAGCCATAGTAGGAACGGAGCCAGAGCTGATTCTCAATATGCTGCTTGACTGTACTTGTGTTCTTGTGTACCCGTTTTACAGCATCTTCCATTGTGGAAAACCGGTTCCAATACTCAAGAACAGAGTACGGTAAAAATCCTCGAATGTTGTTCTTGCCCCATCCCAAATATCAAGGATACATTGGTTGCATCTTCACCAAACGAGACCAATCCCATGATTCACTGCGCCTCAAGTTCATTCTTGGGAGGCAAGGTAGAAGACCACAAGTACTTGCCAAGACCACAAGTATGATCTTTGCATTATTGGTACTGAGAAATATGCCTGGTATCTAACCAGAAAGGGGGTCAGATCCCCAGGGCTGAGCAGGCAGTGCTGTGGTCTCTCAGCAACATGTGTGGAGTTTCACGTTGCGCCCCTCTGCCTCATGCACTCTGCTTCCCGGGATCTGCTCCAGGCTCACGGTCACCCTGTGCTGGATAGACAGTTACAGAAGATGGCCGGATGGTAGGATGTTGTAGAAAATAAAGTGGTTGGCTCCATTTACTGCAAGTGCCATCATTTGTCTCCAGCCACCAGAGAGTTAACAGGAAAAGCCACCTGGAAGGTGAAGTGGCTGAGGTCAGAACATGGAGGCCACTGAAGGTGTTGGGGGAGCCGCTTCTTATTTATGCCACCTTGTCCTTGGGTGAGAACACCGTGCTGTTGCTGGATAAATGGCCCTGTGTATTTTTGGACTCCAGAGACATCCACCTGCTCTTTATTTATACTGCCTGTCTATTGATGTGACATGTTAAACATATTACCTGGCAATTATTAAACTGCTTTGTTGTATTATTATATTATTGTAATATGAAAAAATAGCGGCATCCCGCCCACAGCGTCCTTCGCCTTCTGCCCTCTGCTTTCTGGGCCAGACTCACTGCTTCCTGAAGTGCTTATGGAAGATGGATGGATAGATGGAGGAAAAACATGATATGCAGGACTCGCACAGTGTGAACAAATGACTCCAATCTTTTGTTGTTGCTTCATACGGCTCGAGTCGGGGATGGGGATTAACACATACAGCCTGAGGAGGCAGGAGGAGGATTCCTGCTGCAAGCTTCACACTCGCTGGCGCCCTCTGGGGCAGCCTGACACTCCGGTTTGCTGGAAAGTTTAATAAAGTTTCACTGTCATGAGGGAGGAAAGTGGCGCTGTGACACACAGGTGCTGCAGAGCGACCCACGGAAGAGAGAGTGTGTGCGAGGGAGGGAGGGGAGAGACAGACACAGCAGGAAATGATGGAGGAAGGGAGGATGCGAGAAGGGAAGGGAGGGACCCGCAGAGAGGTGGCGAGGGTGTGGAGAGACTCAAACAGTGAGGGAGATCAATGGCATAAAAAGGAGAGAGCCTGATGGAATGGGGAAAAGACAGCGTGACAGTGGAGTGGCCTGCAACAAGACAGATAGCATGAGAGGAGAGACACCTACATGGTAAGGGGGGATCACATGACAAGAGGAAGGAGGGACACTGCCTTGGAAAGGGGGAGAAACCTTGTGGGAAGAGGAAAGGGAGAGACCTGTGTGGAAAAGGGTAAGAGATCCTATGGGAAGAGGAGGTAGAAACCTGCATGGAAAGGGGGAGAGACCCTATGAGAAGAGGACAGAGAGAGACCCTTGTTTGGAAAAGAGTGAGACCCCATGGGAAGAGGAAGGAGAGACTTGTGTGGAAAAGGGAGATACCCTATTGGAAGAGGATGGAGAGCAACCAGCATTGAAAAGGGGGAAACAGTACACAAGAGTAGAGAAATATTCAAAACAAGGGAGGGAAGGTATGAGAGGAGATTTTCATAGCGAGGAAAGTGAGAGGAGAGAAGTCATTCGAGGACAGGGACCTTGGGAGCACAGAGGGCACACGCACGCAGGACATTTCTATGGGTCACAAGATTCAAGCCATTGTTGGAAGGCAGTTTTTCTCCTTCCTGCCTCTCTGTCATCCTGTTCTCTCTCCTCATCCCTTCACGTCGCCCCGATTTCCCCTTGCAGCATTCTCCCGCTCACTTGCTGTCCCTTGCTGTTTTTTTCCTGCCTTCATCTGTTTGTTACCGAGTGAAGGATGGCTACAATGTCACAGGTGTGGGACAGTATGAAACGACATTAATTCTGCATCTCTACATACCCAGTCATTGTCACTTTTTATGCTGGAAAGAATAAAAAGCCCGACATGGCTTCAGGTGGCAGCAGAAATAGCTGTTATTGAACATGCTTTCCTAACAGAATCACAATGTTAAGCTGTGAATGGGATGAGCCGTATTGTTTTTATTGCAAGATTTTTCTTGTTGTCTCAGCTATTCCTAGTGCTATTCAAAAAAATCTTTTGGCACAGGACTTCCGGAGATAGGATTGAGTCGAGGAGGCTGGCTTTGGTGGGCTTTGGGGGAGGGGCAGCTCACCTGGGACTGCTGGTCCCTAATTATTAATTATTCAAGATAAACCTCTGGCTCTCATTTGTCTTCTAATGCAAAGCATCTGCCAGTTTCTGCTGGACGCCTGAGGAAATTCTATTGATTATGAAAAGCAATACTAGCAGTGGGGGGAGGGGGGATTTCTCTGATGGCGTTCTCCAGGCAGGGGGGGGGGGGTGCGAAG